ATTGGGCCATCTTCTGGAGTTCTCTCTACAAGCAAAAAAACCTATTGTAGATTTTGGAGAATGAGCAACACCAACCTTGAAGGTGATTTACAAGTAAGTTGGATACTCAATTAACATCACACCTCTGTGCTCCGACTTGAGGGCGAGTAAAAAAGATCAAGTCATAAAATGATTGATCTTATTATAAAAGGTACACTTGATTAACATCTTCGTGCTCTGACTTGAAGTGAGTAAAGTGGATCAAATCATATAATGATTGATCTTATTATAAAAGGAATAAAGAAGAGGATCAAATCATATAATATTGATCCAATTGTAGAAGGAAGGAATATCATGCCATTAGAAATATTGATAACTAAGGAGAAATCAATTTACCAATTAATTGATTTCAAGAATTTGATATTGATTGTAATCTTATTAATAGAAGATTTCTAATTAATTGTTATTTATTTTATATTATGGATCCCCTCACTTTATAAATAAAGTTGCCATATGTAAGAAACTAATGAAGAGAAATAAATATTCAAAGCCCACATAGGCTTTTGTACCGTGAACTAAACCTTGATGCATCATGACGGCCAGGAGCTATGTAATACTGTTTCTTCAATTCCTCTCTCTATAACTCATCTTTTATTTTGTTCATCTTATTGCTATTTTATCATGACATTTCTACTAGTAAAGATTTCCTAGTTATATTAGAAACTTCTTCATGTTTCACTGTTGTCTCTCCTGGTGAGGAACTAAGATGATGATAAACAAAACAAAACTTTATAAAAAATGCCTAATCATTTATAGTGGAAATTGCAATTTCATAATCAAAGAGAGGCTTTAGCAATCTAAAACTGTCACTATTGATACATGATCTACAATTGAGCAGATAAGAAATGTAGTGAAACCCACATGTGCCTTAAATGGTGCTATTCAGTTCTGCCTTAAATGTTAATGTTCATGATTGCATGAATCACACCTTACAGGTCTGTTTTTTTTTTTTTTTTCCTTGGAATTAATTGCATCGCAATTTGCATTCCAATTTGAAGGGACTTCCAAATATCAAGTTTTTCTCCAGCTACTAGCATGTATATATGATATTGAAGCTGCAAACATGCAGGCTCTTATTCACCAAACTGATATGCGTTGTGTGACATGAAGCACTTATTATTACATCCTAAAGAACTTACCTCACTGAAGTTCATCAATGATTGGTTAAAGGTAAAAATTTCACTCTATTAGACAACACTAAAAGACAATAAGAACAACTTTTTGTGAAACTTTCAAGTTGAAATTTAAAGTTAATTAAAATTGTAGTTGTTAGAAAAATAGGAGAAGGAAGATTATAGAAAATAAGAAAGTTATGAGGTGTAAACGGAATCACTTTCCTTAAGGCTTTAAAGTCCCTAGCATACAACAGAACAACCAAAACTCTGTCAAAGTGTAAAACTGAAGGACTGGGAGAAAATGTATGAGAATTACTTGCAAAAGTATTCTAAACTTTGGCCTATATATAAAAGCCAAAAGGATGTCTTAGGTACTTGTTCCAATCAGATACATCCATTTGATCAAATCTGTTCATTCAAAGTTTGCATTGAATGGACATGTCCTTTGAGTTTCAGCATGTTGATCAAGTTTGATTATGTCCAAATGGACACTTTCATTCAAATGCATCATTCAATCCAAACGTAACAATTATGTCCGTTGGACATTTACGGATGCAACTGGTTTCATGTTTTGGACATTTCAAATTTCTAAACCCAAAAACATGTGTCAACCGAAGCCATTAAACAAATGTTAATTAATTTAATATGCACCATATCGTATCTTTCTATCCGTCTACGTGTTCTAATGTCTTTTTGTAATAATAACTCAAGGACGAAACACTTGTTAACTTACAAGCCCAAAATTTGTATCAAGACGTTTTCAAACTATCCAACAGTAGTCCTTTACTATTGTTAGCTAATGATTCTAAGCTTTCACTGTTTTAAATTTTAGGGACTCTGCTAAAGTGGAGTCTAAGCAAAAAAGCTGGAGGGGGTTTGTTAATTTGGATTTTGGAGATTGAGTTTGCATTTCATTTTGTAACTTCTATGTCCTTGTTTAGTGTTGTTTCAGCATGGAAAACTAATTTCGAAAA